ATGTCTGCACTCCAATAGAAGATAAGTGGCATGACTGCAGTGGGCCTGGATCAGTTGATTCAAGTTTGTGGGTCTGTAAAGTTGTGGTGTCGAGATTGGGGCATGGCCTGGAGCCAAGGGGCTGGGACCCTGTGTCTGTTGGGGGGAGGCAGTGTCTCAGAGTTGGCTACAGCCCCAGTTTGAACAACTACATCTCAATTATATAGGCCTGCTGCTGCAGTCCTGGCCCAGTGAACACAAATCAGCTTGCCTAGGCTTGTCTGAGACTCAGGGCTGCATATAGCCTGAGTTATCACCAGTCCAGTCCTCAGGGAGAGCTCTAGTATAGGCTCTCAACAGGCTTACCTGAATTGTGAGTATAAACACTAAAGCCTTGCTTAAACTAGCATTCTCCCCATTGCTACTATTGGTGGAGCTGCATAGGCAGCCGTGCAATGGTGGGGGGAGTTAAGAAAAAGCTCAGTGAGAAACACAGCCCAGAAGTAATGAGATGAAGTAGAGCAGGGCTACTCAACTTTGGAAGCCCCAGGGGCCACAATGATACAGCACATGCCGAGGGCTGCAACTTAAGTATGGTTGCATATACATGCAAATATATGCAAATCGCTTCTTTCATACTGACGGGCATGAATACAAAGATTAAGGTAAGACTACACAACACACATTTAAGTCAGTTCCGCTGATATTAATAAAATGCGATATTTACCTGATTTCCACCCATATGACAGCACTTTTCATGAGCAACGACAGTCAAGGAAATTAACTACTAAAATGCACGTCAACTGAAGACCACTGTATTGATTTGCCATTGTGGCATGTGTTCCCAGAGGAGGCCATGTTCAAAGGATCTCACCCGCAGACGGCGTGTTGAGCCCCATGTAAACCCAAACTGCACCGCGGGCCACAAACAAACGGGCCACTGGCTGCATGTGGCCCGCGGGTCGCATGTTGAGTAGTCCTGAAGTAGAGCAAAGAGAACATTCCACAGCTGGATGTCAGGAAACTATTCCTACCTGGCAAGTCTACTGCACTGTGGCCTATCCTCCCAACAGAAGGATTGGGATAAAGCCCTATGAACATACTATAGGTCAAGGGGAAAGCAGGGATGTTCACGGAGTATCCAAATGCCGTCTTCAGTGCCTGTGCATCTACATCCTTCATGACTTTTAGAAAGCAGAAAAAAGCTCTGACTGTGACCCTTCAACCCTTTGTCACTTGTAGCTCCAGGACTGGATTGAACCCATGTCTCTAGAGATGAAAGGGCAGCATATTTTCTCCCAGATTTTATTCTTCTGAAATGGCAGAAATTGTCAGTCATTGTCCTAGCTCCAGGAGACAGGAATTTCATATTTCCTGCTTAGTCTTCTGTTGTTAACTGTTACCAGGAGCTTTGAATTTCTTTGTTTTGGGGGTTTGAGAGGGTTTTTTTTTTTAATGTTGTTTGCTTGTTTGGGGGAACTGGCTTGGTTAAGTCTGGCAGTCCCTGTTCTCTGCCAAAATGGGGGAAACTTGCCCTTATATACATAATGATGGCATATAAGCGAGAACTAGCAAGACAGAGGAGGGCAGGTTAAATGCTTGCTGAGCTAGGAGGAGTGCTCGTCAGTTTTTCCAGAAGGCTTG